CAGGGGAATCGGTACATTGCTCCGGGAGATCCTAATGCGAAAGAGGTACCTCGTTCTCCTTCTCCACTCTATAATAGAGTTCGCCGGCGCGTTTTCAGGACGCGCCGCTGACGAAAATTATTGAGAGTTAGAAGGGTAATGATAAATATACTAAATGGTTCTATTAGTTTACTTAATTATCATTTTAGTCCTTTAATTCTTAGAATTTTCATTTTAATCTACCTACCTCATCAAAATAACAAATTGATGATGTGATCTTTTAAAGGACTAAGAGCATATGTGATAAATCTTAATTGTCAATTTAGTTGGACTGGATCAATTGGGTTAAAATTCTCGATTGGATCAGGTCGGGTTGTTTCTATCGCCTATCGATCTTTTCTACATTTTTTTTCCTTTAATTTAACAAATGGTAAGAGATAAGTGTGTGACATATCAGATACAAAATTAAAAAAACATGACTCATTCTTTTATAAGATTCAAGGAGTTAACTTAATTTGTTAATACATGAGGGGTTGAATTGAGAATTTTAAAAACTTGAGAACCAAATCGATAATTACTGAAAGATTAGGGACTAGAACTAAAATGAAAGGTGGTGATTTGACGGGACGGTCCTCGGGCACAGAGTCGTTAAACGGTGTCGTATGATGGCGCAGGTGACGAAGCGCGTGGACACAAGTGCGGGGGATTGGTCGGAGTGGAACTGGAGGACGGAGGGGGACGTAATGGTAAATGGAGCATTTTTTGTGCCTTCAGGGGACGGACTGAGCAATATGTACGTAAAAGCGACGAGCGTGGCGCCCAAATCCGCCGCCCTCGTCGACCAGCTCACTCTCAATGCCGGCGTCTTCGGCGGCCCCAGGTACCTTTTTTTTCACTTATGCAAAATTACCATAACACCCATCTACAACTTTTTATTTTCCCATAGCACCTATCTTTTATTAATCGCGATTTTGACAAGTAACAGAGAAATATAATATATTTTTTTTTTCTATTTTTTTAGTAGGTTGTTTTAGTATAAACATGTAGTAGTGCAGGAGAGGTGGAAATGGAACTCACAAATTCAATTTTTAGGGATATATGTTAATTACCGTTTAGCTAACAAATTTTTACTAGTGGGATACTTTTTCCATTGACGTGAAATTACCAAAACACCCTTCTACAATCTTTTATTTTTAAACAATATTTAGTTACTTATCGAGGCAAAATAAGTACATAATTGTCATCTATTTCTGACTAAGAATACTAATCTCCAATCTTACTTGAAGAAGATACTTACTGTTGGTTCTCATATTTTACTGTTCGTGTGTTGTTGACCTATAAACATCTATCTATTTCTTTCTTTTTTTCACTAGTGATTTGACGATATTGGGCTCAGAAATTGGTTTCTGTTCTTTTTTTTTCTCCTTTTAAATCAATGGAGATTTAGATTAAAGAGAAGCAGAATCTAAACTAAGCATAAAAAATGAATGTGAAAGTGAAACTCAAAATGGGGTGTGGAGTGAGAATCTAGACCAAGTCCACCTCAACTGACACCACAGCCTTAAAAACAGCTCACTTGTTTTCTTCTTTTGTCTTTGTCTTTTCTCTCTGCCTCTATTGCCTTTGTCTGTCCTGTCCACTTCTGCAATTAAAAGTGGAAAACCCATTCATTAATTACTATTCATTCTGTATTATATTATTAGACACCAAAATCATCAACCCTCCTCTCTTCTGTTCTCTGTTTGGTAATATTGGCTCAATTGAAAGGGTAGAGTTGTCCTGTGGATTTAATGGGGGAAAGAGAGGAAAAAAGTGAAAAAAAAAAGTTGCCTTTTTTAAGTTTCAAGCATGTAAAAAGGGTGAAAGGTAGAAAGGAAGCCAGTTGGGATGGGGAGGGTAAGGTAGGAAAGCAAGTGGGGTTTTTGCATTAGTTAATGCCAGTGGTGAAAGTTCCATTCTTTTGGTGGTAGTAGTTTTTTTTTCCCTAACAAAAAGTACCCTTTAAACTTTTTTATTTCTTTCAAAAATACTCCTATCCTTTTCAAAATTTCAATATTACCCTTTAAACTTTTTATAAATATTTCTAAACTATCTTTCGAGCAAACATCCATGCAAGTAGTTAACTATTTCAGACTTCCACATTAATTGTCACTTCTTCCGTATTTTACCATGCCAGCAGCTAAATATTAACGAAAGTTTGCTCTAAAACTATTTTTGAATCATTTATAAAAAGTAATTGAAACTTTTGAATTTTGAATTTGAAAGGATAAAAGATAGCTTTCAAATAAATGGCAAAATTGAAGACATTTATGTGTTATTTAGCCTAGTTTTTGGTCTGTTTCGCTTCTCACTCCTGATTTCCCCTTACCCTTTTGCTTTCCAGCTATGTCTTGTGGGTCTTCTCTCTCTATATATTATTTCCAAATAGTGGAACCTACTTATCATGTTCAATAAATTTATAATGAAACTTGTGACCTTTGCCTCTGTTCAGGTAGAAGAACACTTGTTTGAAAAATTGATGATGAATTCCTTTCTAATAATTAAACCTCTTTACCCAATTTTTATTTTTCAAAGATAGTTCTTAAGCTAAGCCAAATTTCAAATATAAACAACAAGCGTCTGAACTCATTCTCCAAAGCAAACTAAGATAATGGTTACTACCAAACATTTGCTATGGCTTTTGATTGTGGTATCAAACTGTTATGTGGTGTGGTATGTTTATTTATTTGCCCATTTTTTCTTTGAGTTGACCAATTGATTGATATGATATGTCTAAATTCTGTCTTCTAACTCAAAATTAGTGTCAAATCATACAAGTAGGAATTTAAATGATGAGTTGATGTTTTAGCTTGGTGGATGCTGAGCATGGCTTTGGGTTTGATATTTTTGAAGGTTAACTTGAGCTTCGTTTCATTTTGAGTTGTGTAGGGAGAGTGGACAGAGCAGTTCATATCCCGGAGACGAAAGCTCCTCCAGTTCGAGGGCGAGTGGCAGCGATGGCGGTGGGGACTACTTCGGGATGATATTTGGCGGGGGCAACGTGAACAGTGCTCCATCGCCACCATCTCTTTCAGTTCACATCATGGTTCTAATTCTGGTTACTATTTTGGCTCTGTATACTAACTCCAACTATGATGCTTTATTATCATTCACAACATTGTTATTGTAGGAATTGGAGAATTAAAAAAAAGGATATATCAAAAAGAAGAAAAAAAATTGATATTTTAACTTTCTCAGCATTCGTAATATAATGTATAAAAAAAAATCTCTTTTTATGTTCTTAAAAGATCTGTTAACATCAAGTTTATTTATGATCTAAATTATTAACATCCATTGTCCTAAATATACCAATAAAATAATGTTTTGATAATACATACGATCTGTATTTACGTATTCTATCCGTATGTTTGTATTTCTTGTTTCTAATTTATTCTTTTTTAATAGAGAAATAAAAAATTGGATAAAGATACCAAATAGACCTCTATAGACCATATTTTTATCATTATGAGGGTGCTGAATTTTGCATGTGGCAGTAAAATATGAACATGGGATGTGTGTAAGTCGGTGGAAACCTTTGACAAAATGGAATCTTTTGAAAATAATTCTCAAAATCTTCCACTTTCACCGAAGCAGGCCTTGTCTGCAACTGCAACATAGCACATGGATTACAAATTCTCTCCCTCTCTTTCATAAGGAGAGGGGAGAGGGAAAAGATCTGCTACATTCATTCTACTGCACAATTCCTTCTTTAACAAATACCAAAAACCAAAGCCAAGTTTCTTCCAAGAAACTGACTGAATCAGACAACCAATGCACGAAAAGTTAAGATATTAGATCCTACAACTTCCCTAGTTAATCAAACATGCTCAAAGATATGAAACTACACAGAATGATAGCTTAGTTTACGAATATTTCGAGTATTATAAAGATATTAACAAGGACTAGGAGTACCAGATCCATTAATGGCCTTAGAAAACAGTCTTAAGAGTGTACTTCCTTTTGGTTTGTCCACAAAACGTAGATTTAGAGATTATTGTCATCCATTACTGACCCCAATCGGATGACGACTTTCCCCCGTCTGCAGAGCTGGATTTTCCCCAAGCTCCAGAACTTGATGCAGGCTTCCCCCAACCTCCTCCTCCTCCTTGGGTGGCACCTGCATTGGCTTCTTGGCTCGGGTTGCTGTTTTGGCCAGTGTCGGTTTCGTTGTGCGTGGTTGATTGCTTCCAGGTGGAAGATTGGCCCTCGCCAGAAGTCTCTGAAGATTTCCAGTTGTTGCCATGAGAAGCAGGCTTCTGCCAACCTCCATCTTTAGCACCTGCATTGTCATCCTTCTTTGTTGTTTGATCTTCAGATCCTCCATTCCAACCTGATGCTGACTTGCCCCAACCTCCACCAGCTTGAGCATCTGTCTTTGCTGCTGCTTGCCCCCAGCTGCTCTTCTGACTGCCGCTCTCTTCGATATCCTTGCCTGCACTTGATTTATTCCAGCCAGAAGCGCCAGATGATTTCCAAGTATTTTGTTCATTTCCACTTGGTTCCTTCCAACCCGATCCCTGACCACCGGATTGGTCACCGCCTTCATTGTTCGTCTTCCAACTCTGCTGCTGGTTCTTCTCATCACCTCCTCGGCTCCAAGATCCTGCACCACCACTGCTGCTCCACCCTCCAGTATTACCCGAACCGGTGCTCCAGCTTGCAGGTTTATCCTCGTTGTCATTAGAACCGCCATCTTGGTTCCTCCTTCCACGTCCTCTCCCTCCAATTCCGCCCCTTCCTGATCC